ATCTCTGAATTTGTCATATGTGGTTGACTCCATTTAGATATAGAACTTCCCTGATTTCCATTACATCTGACCTGCAGAGCTGAAATAAATAAAAATAACTTGAAACTACTAATATAATATAATGTAATATAATATAATAAGCATTCCAACTCAATCAGTAGTTTGGAATAGCTTGTTTATAACTAGAATTCTTTGAAAGAAAAATAAGGGGGAGGGATGGGAAGATTTCCCTAATCCACCATGACATACTTTAGGCTTGAGTTTTCAACAGGCTCTGATCTGTGTTCCCCAGACTTTCATTCCCCAGGTCATCTATACTTGCATCTAGTTATATTAAAGTCATGAGTAAAGAGTGCAGGTAAGGATCACATTACACTTCAAAAAGGACATTGAAAGAATTAGAGACCTGTGAGAATCATTGTCTTGTCTTTTGATTTTTGGGTCACATTTCCCTCTCCTAGTGGATCCAAAGAGGATGAAATGTGAGAAGAAGCCAGGACAGGCAAGGTCATTTTTGTCCTAGAAAAGCAAAGCATCCACTGCATGGAAGTTTGCATAGGTAAAGTCTAAATCTGGCATGTTTTCAATCACAAGAGTAGTTAATCTTGGGGATTATTTCAGTGGCGACTTCTACAGGCATGTTTGGATGATGTTTGGGGTTATTTAAAAAAAAAAAAAGATGTTTAAGAAAGTGCAGTGGGAATTAATTCAAGCAGTCCTGTAGTCAGCATTATACAAGGAGGCTTGATTATAAAATTAAAAATGTAGGAAGGTCACAGTCAGAAATTTTCCACGTTGTGGCCAATCCCTCAGCTTGCATGCAAGGAAGCAAAAATAACATCAGCCATGGGACTAGAAAAGAAATAGCTGAGGTCCTTTTCATGCTGATCCAGTCTCCCTACTGAGGAGGAGAATGCAGTTGTATAGGGAAGGATGGGGCTGTATGGCCTCTGTGTGATGGGCGCTGCATCTCCTTACCAGCACATCTTGGGGTGAAGCACCAGGTTTAACTGCCCTTCAGACCCTTTGGATCCTGCCTGTGGGACTTGCTCCTCCTCAATAATTAGCACTTGTCCAGGACTTGTATATCTTTCTTACTTCATTCATCTTCTGAGAAGTGTCCCTTCCAGCAATTCACATTGCCTCAAAAGCCAGGAGCTTTCAGCTCCCGTAGCCAGTCTGAACACCTTTTCTTTTTCCAGAAAGTCACTCAATGTGGGCTTCAGTAAGCAGCAGCAGCGAGGAGACTATAGAGCCCAATTACACAAGCATAGAGCAGCTGTTCTGCTTTCCACAACCAACCCCCAAGGAGAAAACGGCCGCACCGGTGAAGGCAGAACCGAAGGAGGTGAGGAGGACACTCTTGTTCTTTCAAATAAAGATCACTGCAGACAGCTCATCTAATACAAGATATCTTCTTTTTCTTTAATGAAGATCACATTTTTGGACTCCAAGAAAAGTCTCAATTTGAACATATTTTTGAAGCAATTTAAATGGTAAGATATGGCCTATTTTCATGACCGTTGACAAAACTTTGAGCAGGTTTTGCATAGTATCTGAAAGGTCTTTGTGAAATCTATTCTAGTCAATGTGCTTTGGTGGTCTGTGTTACTGAAACATCTGAAGATTTCCCAGTTTGTCCTATACTGTCTTTAAAATACTGGGTTTAGGGGTTTAATTGCATCTTTACCTACAACATCCCTGTAAGTTGTAAAAAGGTGTTACATCTCCATGTTACAGATAAAGTTGTGGCACAAACTCTTAAGGTGACTTGGGCTGTGAGACACCTCTGGAGGTTGAACTGCACCTCAAAACAGGGCCAATGGAGAAATTAAGAAATAAATTTTTTTTTAAGTTAATCAAATGCCCAGAGACAGTCATCTGACTTGCAGGACTAATCTCTGGCCTTGCATCATTTGACCAGGGACAGAAACAAAATTTGGAGCATAGCAGGGATCCAGGTCCCGATTCTGGGTTAATCATGGGGACATAGCTTTCCTTTTGGATTTTTGTGGCTTTCACTAGGCAAAGCACAGAGCATTTGCACAGATACATGTCTCAGTAGCATGTGATTGTGGATGAGGGGTCTTTGGGTGATGGCTGACTCTGCTCCTTCTCCCTGCAGCTCCAACGAAGAGGTGGCTGCCATGGTCCAGAACGGGGACCGGACCAAATTTGATGTAGAGGTTCTGAAGCAGTTGCTGAAGCTGCTGCCTGAAAAGCATGAGGTCAGGAGGAAAAATGGTACCCTTAGTTCACAGAGCTGAACACACAGTGCAGTCCTGCAGTCTTGATTCTTTATTTCTCATCAGATAGAAAACCTGAAAGCCTTCAAAGAAGAGAAAACAAAGCTTGCAAATGCAGATCAGTTTTATCTTCTCCTCCTTCAAATTCCCAGGTAAGGGTGTTGGTCAGGAACTTCAGCCCCATCTTTTTCTTTTTCTTCCCATCTTTAAACTCTGGGAAGTTTAAATTTCTTTATATGAGGCTCACACAGACACTGATGGATGGATATAGCTGGTGGATTCCCCCTTCCACCTTAGAGCCATCCCTTTCCCCATTACCCTTAGATGAAGGGCTGTTGCTGCTCCAGCATCTCCTCTCTCTCTGAAGTAGCAGAAGCTGGCCCAGACCCAGGGTCAGACCTGCCCAAGGGTGCCACGTAACTTACTGAAAGGCAGTGCCAAATGCAATGACAAGAAGGGGGAACCCATATCTCACACGGTGGTCAGTCTTGTCTTTGCTGACAACAGTGTGTCGGCAGAAACTACTTCCCCACTGGTCCCCAAGGCAACCCCAAAAGCCACAGACACTGGTTTGATGTGGATGCGGTTGACAGCCGCATTGTGGGGTTGCCAGGCTTAGCAGTGATGTGGGAAGAGGGCTGCTGTGCTGGCCACAATCACAATGCCTTTAAGCTTTGAATCAATCTCCGTCCTTAGCTACCAGCTGCGCATTGAATGTATGCTGATCTGTGAGGAGACCACCGTTGTGCTGGACATGATTCAGCCGAAAGCTGAAGCTGTCCGGAGAGCCTGTGAAGGTAAATGGCCTGACCTTATTTCTGGATCTTATTTATGGCAGGAAGCTTTAAAACCCCCAAAACTACCCTGGACCTCTGCAATGGTACTACCCAGCCCCCAAAAAACTCCCCTGCCGTCCATTCACTGGTTCGCTGCAGAATACGGGATGCAGCTTTAGGTATCTCCACTGACGGTCAAAGCCCTTAATAGGACCAGAGGTCATTTTCCCTCACCCTTGGCCCTCTTTTTCTGCAGCAGATGTGTTCCTCTGAAGCACTTTCAATGGTGAAGCGTTGGAAGATCATCAGCCCTTTCAAAGGAGTTGAATTTAGACAGCAGTGCTGGCCCCGTTGCAGATAATTCATCCAGCATTATTTGTCACGTTAAGACCTTCACGCTGCAATTTTCTCTGCTGCCAGAAAAGCACACCCCAAACTTCCCCCAGAAAGTAGTGATGCTTTGGTTTTTCCCTGCCTACAAATGGAACCAGAAGAAAAAGTTTGTTATTCTGGGCTATAAATTGCTGATGGTCCAATTTTGTGAGTACCTGGAGAGATTATGCCATAGGTTTTGGCTTCCTGTGATGGAAACCTCAAGTCCCACTCCACTGAGAGCAGAATGCTCTTCTTGGCATTGTTAAGTGCCGCCTGTCCTACAGAGCCAGTTACCCCAACTTCTGCCAGGGGTTTCTCCAGCTGGCATTACAGATGCCTGCTGGGATAAATTGAAGCTTCCCCCAAAAAGTGCCTTCCCAGCAACGCAGTTGTCCTTTTGGAGCTGTTCCTGCCTCAAAGCTGAGTGCTTCAGAAAGCACACCCCTGCAGCACCCCGATGTAAGAGCAAGGACAGGGACTATACCCTTCATGCCCTGATAACCACCTCCACCATGCGAGACCAAGAACAGGGCGAGCTTGTCTGATTTTAGCAGCTGCCAGATAATCACAGGGCTGGCAGAAGTGGCTTCACTGCACAGCTGAACGGAGTCTGCAAGATTAAAATTACAGCCCAGTTGCCCTCGCCCACACCAGGGTAAATCAGGGCACTTCCAAGGAAGGCAGTGAGTTGATGGCTGTTAGTGAGGAGGGTCCAACTCCAGGATATTTTCCACTAGGAATTAGAGACCAGATGTAAAGAAAGAAAGAAAGAAACATAAGTCACAAAAACTTTTATTAAGCCCAACTCGTGGAATTGAATCTATATAGAACCAGTTTCTCTGCAGGTTGGGCCATTGGGCTGCAAATCTGAAGTAGCAGATTTGGTTTGGTGAAATTCAGAATCCCAATTTCAGTGCAGTTTAGGAAACGTTCTGGGGTAACAGAGGCTTTTGTTTATAAGTCCTTTATGTTTTTCAGATCTTCTGAACAGTCATCGCCTGCCGCTCTTTTGTCAACTGATTCTCAAAGTTGGAAACTTTCTGAACTATGTAAGGACTTCTTTTCTCTTGTCCTTTCCCCATTACAGTATGTGGATGATCTCCTTTCGGGTTGTGATTTGGGTGGACACAGAAGTTACATCTGCTTTCTTTCTGTCTTTTAGGGAAGTCACACGGGCGATGCCGATGGGTTTAAAATCAGCACTTTACTCAAACTAACAGAAACCAAAGCAAACCAAACCCGTATTACGCTGCTCCACCATATTCTGGAGGTACCACTGCCAAGTCCTGGGTGATAGGGAAGGGGGAAGATTTTATCACGGATGAACCATTTCTCCTACTCTAGTTTCAGTTAATGCCACGTGCTCATATTCACATCCTCCCTGGCTAGCCTCAGAGTGTCACAAGTAGGGAGCATTTGAATCAGTGCTCATGGGCACTACTGAGGAAGCTCCTTAATTTAAGGCTTGTTCTGCTTTCCTCCAGCATCTTTCCATGCAACAGCTGGAACTTCCTTTTTCATATTTGTGCAATCTTCATATCATCAGCTGCAAACCACAGAGCACGTGGCTACCAAAGCTATCCTGGCTGGTCTGTACCCGTTCAGCCCTTCTGCTTTTCCACGGCCTCTCCCTTTTCCAGCAGACTATGCTCGAGCTTTTCATGCCCCTCTCCAAGTCCCCATGGCTTTCTTATTCCCTGCAATGCTTTTTTTTCCTTTTTTTCTCCGTGCTCTGCTCTGCCACCATCATTCATCAATGTCCCCCCATTCCAGTTATGCATGTTCAAGCTCTCCTTTAGCTGGCAGTAGCTTCAGCAAGCACAGCCATGAAAGTAAATTATGCAAATAAGATTAAAGCCCTTTTGATACCCTTCTGGGACCATAGGAAGTGTCAGACTGCCTCAAACCACAATCCTTCCTCTTCCCATGGTCAAGGGTAGGTATCTCAGAAGAGGGTAGAAGCTCAGCGGCAGGTCAGCTTTGCTTTGAACTATGAGTATTTCTCAACATTCAGCCCTCTTGTGTGTTTTTATAGCCCAGGAGCAATGCCTTTCCTCTCTGAACGTGCCATCCTGTTTTGAATGCGGCTTGGCTCTGAGAGGCAAAGCACACTGCGGAGGGGAGGCAGCAGCGGGACGTGGCGCGGTTGTCCTTCCTGGGCACTTCTGCCCGTGTCTCTTGCCCCCCAGCTTCTTCTCGCAGCTCCTGCCACACAGCAAATAACACTTCTTTCTCTCTTCCGCTTCAGGAAGTAGAAAACAGCCACACGGACCTACTGGAACTGCCAAAGGATCTTGAATATGTTTCAAAAGCAGCAGGGTAAAATTGTGTGTCACTTCCTTCGAATTAAAAAATGAAAATAAATCCTATACACATCAACAATGTATCAGAAATTAGGACACACGCAGCTGGTATAGCACATTAACAAGATAGCATCTTATTTAGTTTTAACCGAAAGATTTGGTTGATGAGTGTTGAAACCCCTTTAATATATAATAGTTCTACTACAGCTGGCAACACTTAGGGCTGAAATTTGCAGAGCATTCAGTTAATGCTGCCTCCCAGGCCCTTCCAAAATCTGCACTGCCTTTGTGGTAGCAGAGGCTTGTGAAGGCCAGCTACCCAGAAGCATTTCTGAAGTGCCTTCAACCAGAAGTGAAAGTGAGCTAATGCCGAGCTCTGAGGGCGGAGAACAGCCCTTTGAGTGGGTTGACTTTTTTTGGCATTATTCTACTCAGTCCACAAAGTTGTAGGTAGACCTGGCAGCCTTTGCAAAGCACTGTGGAGGGAAGCTGTTTTCCATGAGCTCGGACTGTATAAAGAGTTCAGAGCTTAGGTTTCAGTTCAGTGAAGTGGTGGGAAGCAGAGGGACCACCAAACCGCCAGCTCAGACGTGTCCACTCTTTGGTCAGCGCAAGATGCTGGAATGTCAACTAATGGGGGCGTTCTGTGTGATTTCAGAATTAATCTTGATATTATACGCACCGAGTCCAGTACCAATCTAAAGAAGTTGCTGGAGCTTCAGCGAAAAGTCTTATCATCAAATGACAATGTGAAACAGCAGTATGAGAAACCTATCCAGGTCAGTAATGGAGCTCCCTTATATCTCCCCCATTACACACACAGAGGCAGCGCGCGGTACATATGCAGCTGAGGAGGCTGAGGGTGGAAAATTCTGCCATAAGACATGGTCTCAGATTTGGAAATAGGCTGCAATGCCACACAACCCATCAATGTCTATTTGCCACCTCCACCCCAAACCTAGATACCTTTGGTGAGGCCATTTCTTAAGGCCCCTGCCCCAACTCTGTTGTGTGACTCTTTGCTTTGAGTGAAGATGTTTACCCTCTGTGTGGATCACCAGAGTAAAGCCCTTCTCTTGGGATTAAGCTTTGCATTGAGCTTTCCATGTCTCGCTCAAGCCACCCCTGTAAACTGACACAGTACTGTCACCAGGAGCAAAGATCATCTGCAAATCTTAAATTTCTTCCCACTTTGTAAGCTCTGCTGTAGTTAAAAGTCAGGGCCCAGAGTCCTGCTCCGAGCTCTTATGGTGACATCCTTTTTTCTTTAAGTACACTTCACTCATTGTCCTCTGGATGGTGTTTTACTGTATGTATTAAATGCATTTCAGGACAGCATTGATGCCTCCAGAAAGCTGGAAGAAGAATTTGAAAGCATCGAAAGGAAGAGAGAGGAACTTGCAAATTATCTCTGTGAAGATCCAAGCAAGTTGTCCTTAGAGGACATATTTAGCACCATGAAGACTTTCAGAGATCTCTTCACCCGAGCCCTGAAGGTTGGCGTCTGCACATGTGATACTGAGCATCCCTAGTATTGGTGCATGCCTCTGCTCCGACAGACGGGTGGATGGGCACCCAAATCCAGTGGGGCAAAGATGCTGATTATGATCTCCTGCTTTCGGCACTTGGCATGAGGTGACCCAGTGAAGAGGTGTCTGATCCCTACTCCACTGCATCCTCATGCAGTGCTGGTGCTCCTGGCCTGGCCCAGACCCTGGCGATTTGTGATTTTAGTGCAACTTTAGCTGCAGAGTCACAAAGATGTTTTAGGGTCAAGTGTGTAACTTTTAGAGAAAGGGGCTTATAAAACTTAACTCTTCATGCCAACCTGAACAAACAGACTCAGAAAGGGGATGTGTAGTAAAAAAGCCACCGGTTTGGAGGAAATGGTGGAGTCAGTGCCATCCACTTTTGCCTCAGCTAAAGGTCAGGCAGGAAGATCTGCACACTGGTAGGTAGCTGTGTTGGGCAGATCACCACTGCCACCTCCTACTGGGACGTGGCCGAGTCCTGGCAAAGCCAGTGGTCTCCCTCTCACCCTCTTGGCAAGATAGCCCTTATGCGCCATACCCATTTTATTTATTGCACAGCATAAAGCCAGAATTTCTCTTCCTCCTTTGCAACCATCTGTAGATCTTCTTTCTCTTCATCGGCTTTTCTAGCAGACGTTTAGCCATCCTTCTCATGCTCCTGTTACCTCACTGCAGGAAAACAAGGACAGAAAGGAGCAAGCTGCCAAAGCAGAGAAGAGGAAGAAACAGCTGGAAGAGGAGGAGGGGAAGAGACAGAAAGGAGAAAATGGAAAAGTCAGTGAGTATCTGAAAGGGCTTCAGAAAAAGAGAGATGGAGCTGACAGGAGCTCTTTGCTGGGCCTGCTGTAATGGGCCAGTAGTGGTAATTTAGTTTGTGGGTTTCTAGGTCCCGGCTGACTAAAGGCTTTTAGGTGCCTTGCAGCCATAGCTATGAATTGACTTTTCACAGTTGCAGCTGGGCGGAGAAGTTAATTTTAGGTTTGCTGACTGAACAGCAGAGAAAAAAAAAATCAGATTGAAACATTTCAGTTAACTTTTTCAGTTTCTAAACATAACTTTTGAATCTCAAATCTAACAAGAAAACTTTGACTTCCCCCCCCAAATCCCCATATACACTTGAAGAGGCTCTCTTTACTACAGACTACTGACATCCCAAAAATCTTACAGATAACTTAATTCTGCCTTTCTTTGGATTAAAACAAAAGGCATAACTGAAAAGTACAATTGGAAGAAGCTGAGGGGAAAGAAAAATCAAGATTATTTTCCCTTCATCCCTCCCCCCTCCCCCCAAAAAAAAAGGTCCCCACCAACAAGGATAGCAAACAGGAGGCATTTCAAGATCATGGTACCACCAGGCACAAGTCTGGGCAGAGCTGGTGCCACTGGTGGCAGCCTGCAGCACCCAGACTCTGGGGTAAACCCTTTGACTTCAGCCAGGACACGCTGCTGTGGGGCATGGAGCATGGGCTGCTCCCAGGCCTGGCATCCGTGCCTCGCTTTTCCCCAGTGGTTGCTTGTACTGGGACAGCGGGACCCACCCCAAGCAGCAGCATCGCTGCAAAGTCTCCTTCTGCCCCATCTCATGGGCAGACTTAACACCCATCTCTCTTTATCCCAGTTAAGAAGGGGGTGGTGAAGCAGGAGGAGGTGTGTGTCATCGATGCGCTGCTGGCCGACATAAGGAAAGGGTTCACGCTGAGAAAGACAAAGAACAGACACGAGTCGGATGCAGTTCCTAAAACCTTGCCTGCGGAGAGCCCGGAGGAGACCCAGGCTGGTAAGGGCACAGACCCGACTGTCCCTGCAGCTATTCATTCCCACCTGCCTCTGAGCCTGAGCCAAGCGCAGAAGCAAGAAGCATTCGCGTTTGGGGCACTTTATTTAAGGAGGCTTTGCAGCCAGTGCCGTGAAGAAGGGGAGCAGAGAGCCCTGAGCTGTTGCCAGCCAGGTCTGCCCCAGAATTAGCAGCACGTTGGAGCAGCATGGCCTTGCACCCATGCTGATAAACCCTCTGAGAGGCATGGCCCACAGGTCAGCCACAGAACCATGGTGTCATCCCCACATGAGTCCCCTCTGTGCTATCAAATCTCGGTAGCACAGCTCGTCACTGCCTTGGAGACCGCCGCACCCTTAGTCTACATTTGGGAATCTAAAGAAGCCCTTAAAAAAAGATTAGAAAACCCTATTTGCAGAAGGACCCAAGTCCTTTAGGTGCTTGTTAGGAGATAGCCCATGGGTTTTGCTTTCCTTTGGTCTCTTGACCTTTGTGTCAGTGCATGTTAGATAAGTCCAAGGACATTGGCCTGCCATAGAGCCTGACTTGTGCAGCGTGGCTCTCCTTAACCTGCTCTGCAAGGACAGGATTAGGCTGGCTGACGGGCAGTTTTGAAGTCCTCATGCAGCCAAGCAAACAGTCCCACCGGGTTCAGGACCTTGCAGGCAGGTTCCCTCTTCCTGCCATAGGCTTTCAGGCACCCTTGGGAATCTCGGGGCTTCCATAGAAATCATCTGGTTGGCAGCAAAGACAGACATGTAAACACCTGCTGAAAAGAGAGCAGGGGCTTAACTGAGCTGGAGGCTTGCAGTCCAACTGGGGTGACCAGATGGGGTATAAGGAGGGGAGGTATAGGGAGGATAAAGTGGTGCTGCCTCTGCATAGCTGCTTTAGGGTCAGGGCACCCTCCACAGGCAGCTGCTAGCTTGTAACCTGTCCCAGTGGCAGAAACACCTTGGTTGATCCAGGTGCGACTCTGCAGCTGTGGCTGATTGCATGTTTTTTGTTTAAAGGAAAGAGCATTAAGGATCCACAAGCAGCAGAAAAGCAGATTGATGATAAGACCAAGCAAAACAACAATGTTCATCCCTCAGAAAGCACTCCCTCAACCACTGCCCTGATGGAGATGGGTGAAGATGTTACAAATGCCTCAGCTTCAAACCAGGCATTATCTAAAAACAATGCTGGAGGAAATTTGCCACCAGAGTCCTGGACGGAAAGCCCCTCAGTAAGCTTGGTGGAAGCTGATGGGGCCGGTCAGCCCATGCCAGGCACCGGGATTGAGCAGGCAGGCAGCTGGGCAAGCCTCCAGCCGAGCACGAAGAGCGGCTCCATTGCCTTCTCTGTTGCTAGCATAGGCACAGGGATAAGGTTTGCAAGCAGCAGTTCGGGCACTGCTCTGAGAGATGAGCTCAACGGGTCCATCTCGGAAGGCCAGGACAAGGAATGTCCAGCTGATGGCTTGGAGAGCTATAGGCTGGCGCAGGAGCCAGAATCCCAGCCAAGTGAGACCGGAGTTGACCCTGGTAGTGCTCAGTTCGCTCCCTGCGATGAGGCTCATCAGGCAGAGTTGAAAGAGGTGGCGAAGGAAAATGAAGACCCTGGTACAGACTCGCTGTTGGACACCTCTCAAGAGAAGTCCTTCTCAGAGGAGCCAGCCACTGACTCCTCTTGTTCAGCAACGCTCCCCCCAGGGCAAACTCACACCGACAGGGAAAAGCAGAGGCCATCTGGGAAACGGAGGAAGAAGAAGAGGCACAGCAAAAGCTACTCAGGTAGCCTATTTCTTATATAGCCCTTGGGGACTGAGTTAAACTGGGGAGGTTTCCTCATATATTTGTACATATCTGTTCCTCCCCACTTCAAGGTCCAGTGCCCCCTGCCCCTAGAGCCATGCTGTTTCATGGACCTGTTATTTTTTTAAACCTGAAAGAGATTTAAAAAGAAAAACACAAGCATAGTTCATGCTCTTGACATTTATAAGCAGTTTATAAAGGGGTAATGATGAATCAATAATTAAAAAGCCCATTACACGTACACAGTAAAGATGGCAATAAGCACATCTGTCAAGTGTGCTATAGGCAGCTACAGGGCACGGTTATGTGCAAACAAGAGCTCCATTAGACTCCAGAGCAGTGATTAAGAGCAGTTAATACTGGGTACTTAATCAGCGATCACCTCCTCTCATCTACTTACAAACACATAAATGCAGCAACATCGGTGCTGCCGTGGGGTTCTTTGGTTTTTCCTCTCCCTCTCGTTGCGAGAGCACTCTGCCTGCAGTGGCTTGACAGCCTGCCCCAGGGGTACGTTAGGTGGCTCCTGAACAGCAGACCCTCAAGCCATCACTGCAGGGTGAGGGGAAAAAGTCAACAATTAAAAAAGAGCATCTTGATGACGCTTCTGCGAAGGATTGTATTTGGCTGGCCAAATCAGTCCCTCGCACTAGGCTGTCGCACTGCTGGTGCCAGGAGAGAGCTCAGCTGCCGGAGTTGTGGAGCTACCTAGGTCTCCGCCTGATGCCGAGCATCCACAGCCAAACCTGGGAAGTGCATCTGAGTCCCTCAGACTCTACCAAGCTGAAGCCACCCTTGGCTGGGTATTTTAATCCCAAATTAGAGGTGCCTCCATAGGGAAGATGATACATGGGTCTGTCAGCCTTTAGAAAGATGCAATATACTGTCCAAAGCCTGTTCTCTGCAAGATCCTGGAGCCAAACAAACGAGCAGGAAAATGGTGGAAGTCTCTTTTTATCAATGTTTAATGATTTTCCTTCCAAGGAAGGTGGAAGAGAAAAGAACGGAGGGTTCTCTCACTGCTGAGAAAGACAGCATGGGTTGAGCATCTACCACAGAGGGACTTACTTACTCTTATAATGCCAGCATACTATGGGGCTGTAGTTATTTACATTTCTAAACATGCTGCTTTCGGAGCAGTAGTTCCCAAACTTGTTTCCCAGGACGCAGCAGGAGGAGCTGCAGCAAGGGAGCACCCCACGCTCCCAGCCATGGCGATGCTTTCCTGACATCTGAAATTAGCCTTTCTGGCTTAAGGAACTGACCTCCCCAAGAGCCACGGGGCTCCCTGAGCATCCAGAGACGGCATCTTAGGAACCTCTCTGCTACTAGACAATGTTTTCATTGTAAAAAGTTCCCTTTTGTTATATTTGCCTTGCGATGATCAGCTATATTTAGTGTCTCTCTTTTGTTTAAAAGCAGAGGTTGAGACTGATACTGGAGATAATAAAACAAAAAAAGGTTGTGTGGTACAATGAGGTATGTAAACTTACAAAGGTGTTTCTATGTGAACTAACCACAGCATTGGGACTTTACAGACCTAATCAGTGTTCAGCATATCAGCTAAGCTTTTTGTCTTTGTGTCTAATCATAAATACATGTAAAATAAATTTGTTACTCCGATTTTTACTCTCCAGGGTGTTGATCTTGCGTTGAGTGGAGTCAGTGCTGATCTCCCCCCGACACAGGGTCACAGCCCATATGTCTGTCCTCTGTGTCAGCAGCAGCCAAACCTCCTTTCCCTGCAGATAATTAAAAGTCCTTATTCTAACCAAGTGAATCCAGCTTCATGTGATAAACAAAGTCCTTGCTTTGATCCCATTATTTTCTAAAAAACTGTACAAATGCAATTTCAGTACCTATCATCTCCTGCAAAGAAGAATGTTTGCTTTGCTTGTGAGTAGCCACTTCCTACAGCACTGTTTAAATACAAGTATCTGGAAAAGGGAATAAAACACTGGACCTGGGGAGAAATACTAGTTGGGGCAAGATACCAGCTCCAACTCAAAGCCAAATTCAATTCCAGAGTAGCACACAAAGTAGTCTGTTGGAGCAAACAGACCGTGCATACTTCTTATGTGCATTCATGCAGCTTTCTGGGATGGGGGCAGGGGGGGTGTAATTTGGCTTTTATCCTCCCCCTAAAAAAATATAGGTAAACCCAATTTCTAGTGAAACTGCGTACCAGGTTTCCTGCATCCTTCATTGATGCTGGCAACATGCAGTTGTGCCTCAAAAGAAAAGTTTCAGGGTGTGACTTTCATTTGCAAAACTTTGCCTGTTTTTACAGCAAGTAGAAAGAAAAGCAAGAAAAAGAAACAATCAAAACACCCGCTGTACTGAAATTGCATAGTTACATGTTGTCCTTTCCATGCTGATGATTATCTCTTATGAACTGAATCAATAATGTCAAGTCTCTCACCATCTCATTTCCTGAACGGAATGTGTTTATTCTCCAGCATCCCCAGTGCCCAGAGCTGGGAGCCCGGCCCGGAGCCCTGCTCCCGTGCAGCCTGGCAGCCCCAGCCCCTTCCCGGCCCTTGGGGTGGTAGAACAGAAAAATCTCTGTGGGATTTTCACACAGGGTAGCTTTTGTTCCTGCACGTGAAGCATCATTGCTAGCAAGAGAAAAGGAGATATAAATTGGGTAGTTACAGTCCTGACTACTCCTGCCTTCCTCTTGGCCCTTCCCGTGCCGTACTACAGGATTACATCAAGTGGAAAAGGGAAGTAGCTCTGTTGGTTTAAAAATCCTAAGGAAGATATGCAGCAAGAGCAGAAAATAGTTGCAGCGAGGCACAGGTAAGAAATATGTCAGGACCAGTGGTCATGCTGTGCAGGGAGGGCAGCTGAAACCGTGACTTAAGTGTAACTCAGATTATGTATGTTTTAAGCATGGGGATTCCAGCATGCACGCTTAAAAAAGTCATATTTGAAAAAAAATAGAGACACAGCCAGCTTTGAATTCCCCTTAGAAGACGCAGAGGAATGTATGGACAAACAGTACCTTTTTGAAGTGACCCAGTCAGGTGGGAATCTCAGCACATCCTTGAAGTGCAGTGCCATATCTCACTGGCACCACCAGCTGTACTTCGGTGCTGGGAGCTGCACCTTGAAACCTGCAATTCCCTTTTTCCTCTGCTCCCATCTTTATGTCACTTGGAAAGGTTAGCGGAAACAAACATCTATTTGCTTCTCTTTGTGTCCAGCCACAGTGCTTCCTCACCCAAAAGCAGCTCAAGTCCATCCCTCTTGATAGGACAGACTCAGCAAGCCTAGAGTGCTTCCCATCAATATTTTTTCCTAGGGTGTTCCACCTCTTTTTTTTTTTTTCCCCCCCTTTTATTTATTGTCCCAAGAGCACACAGTCTGTTCAGGTCACAGCACCAATTCTCTTTTGGTACAGGACATTTCTCTGGTGGATTTGCTTGTTATGGAAGTTGATGGGTCTCAGTGAAGCCACAGAAGTTTTCTTCCTTCTTGTCCAGATCCAGCTGCAGGGATCAAGACTCGATCCCCTTACCAGTTTTAGAGCTTCTCTAACAGCAGCAGAATAAGGGCAGGAACTGCCTGTGACTCTATGAAATAATGTTTCAAAGCAGTAAAAGACTGTTGTAATCAGCTGCTGAGCTCTTGCCTCACCTTGACTATATCTTATTATGCAGCAATTTTGTATTAATGTTCTTTAAATGTCAGCTTTTACACCTGAAGAGTGGTATCCCACATTATCTCCATGTCCCTGAAAGAAATGATTAAGCCTGTTTTTGCATGGAATCAAGGCACTGGGGGTCACACTGTGTTCATTTGTGTGCTGGTAACATCTGAACTCATTTCCAGCCAAATCTGAAAAGAGCTTGAAGGATCACTTAACAAAAGCTGTCAGTCAGAGGAGGACCGGACTCAGGGGAGATGCTGTTTGAGTTCCCTTGTCTTAAACCCTAGAGAATCACTACAGACAAATGTTCATGTTTGCTCGTGTAACTCCCTTTTTCCTCTCCTGCCATCTTTATGTCACTTAGAAAGGTTAGGGGAAACAAACGTCTTGAAAGCACAAGTCCATAAGCAACCGGGTTTTGGCAATTTCCCTGCTCACAAATCTACTTGATTTATTCCCTGGAAAATAAAAGAACAAACTAAGCGGGGAGCACAGGCTAGTGCTGCAAGACCACAGCCTGGTGAGGAGGGAAGGAAGGGCAGGAGAGGGACGCAGCGCTGCCTGCCAGCAGCTGTGACACATACGTGACACAGTGCGACATCAGCCTCCCTCTGCAAACAGGGTTTGAGAGTCAAGCTTTTCCTTCTTTTTTTTTTTTTTCCCCCCCATTCCTTTAATTCTAGAGAACCTTCCCTTCTGCAGACTCAGTATTGTCTGTGGGCAGTTTTCTAATGGACCACGAGAATCAAGCCAATGCTCCTCTTTCTATCTGGCCTTTGCCTTCCTGTCTGTCATTAGAAATGGTATTTGCTTTGGTTATGGAGTGAGACAGGCTCTTAAAAATGACAGTGTGCCACCCCATCCTTCTGACAGTCCTGCCAAATCCTCTAGATTTAGTAACTTCAGCAATTTAACGTCTAGAGGCATATTCCAATATTCTGCTTGGAAAACACAAGACATTGTTGTTGGACTGAACTAGTGCCCAGCTCAAGAGCAAAATTGCCCGAATTCTTGAACATTAGGATCAGTTCTGGAAAATTTGATTTTTTATTAAATACATAGAGATTTAGCTCTGCCTGTTTTTAGGTTATCTGAAACTGGTTTCCCTAGTAGCACCCCAACCATTAGACACACACGCATGCAAAAACACACCGCTTTGTTTTATAGCTGCAAATAATTTGCATTTCCCCCTCCTCTTACAGGTGTCACGGCAAGGCAGAAGAAGTAACAGAGACCCAGTGAACCATTCACACATCCCCGAAGCGCTGCCAGCTTCTCAGAAGCCGGGTTCTGCATCGCCAAACCACCACCGTGGTCACCTCTGCCCCATCAGGACACACCGCTTCTCCTCCCACAGCCTTTCAGTCCCCTCCCCAAGACCCAAAGAGCCTCCCCGGAGACTTTGGCACCCTGGGCCCGTGCCTTACGCCAGGCGCTCGCAGGGACGGGGGCCGGTTCTGTGCATGGCGGTGTGAAAGGGTCAGAACTCTCGCCCGCTGTCCTCAAAGCCAAGCCTTTCAACCTGCTCTTAGGCCAAACTCCTCTTGAAGCGAAAGCTGAGTGTGGCCCAAGAAAGGACCGCGGTGTTTAGCCCTCAGAGAAATTTTAAAAATAGCAGTGCCTCAACTAAATTAAGGGCATAAATTAAGCAGTGGCTGTACCATCACCGGTGGAGGCGTGTTACTCCCTCTTCTCATTGCCCAGATGATTTATATTGGACCAGGACCAAGACCCAGATTAGACAAATGTATTTTTACTCTCAATCATTTAAAGCAAGGGAAATCGGTTACAGGGGGGGAAAAAAAAGTAAAAAAAAAAAAGTATGGATTTTAGTAAGCATATGGCTATATAAACAGTGTCTGGTTTCTCAAAGACACTTATGTGCAATTAAGCTGAAGCACGTCAGTAGTCTTGCAGTAGTCTTCTCACAAGCACAGATGCGTCCACCAACTTTTGGAGAACCAGGACCCCAGTTCCTGTTATTAAAGCACCAGAAAGAGGTTTTCCAGAGTGCTCTACTGGACACATTTTCAGCTTATCCCGTAGTAAATCTCTAGGTTTGAATGCCATTGTCAGCTGCTTGCACTCAAAAGTCTTAGTGTTCAAGCTGCAGAAGGTGTAGGTTCATGTTACTTTTGCTTTAAAGCAGGGAATGTGCAGTATTGTGTTTTCAAAATTCAGAGCTTTATTTCTCAAGTTTTGTAATAACATTGTATCATAGTTTTGTACATAGCTGTCCATTTAAAATGATCTATGTTTGTTGAATCTATGGTGTGATACTGTGCTGAAACATGAATCAAGTGGAAGAGCTGGGTGCTTTTAAGAATTATGCCTTTATATGGTAACTCACCGTGGCTAGACTAATGTTCAGGCTCAAGCTTATTTTGCTTTGCTTAATGGGACTTGTAATGTCCTTGTAACACTGAAGACTTTGCTGGACTAAGTTAGAAGTTAAACCAAAAATTAAATCACTGGTTTATTTTAACCAAAGCACTGCTATGAGCATATTGAGAATCGGTTAACAAAAGCAGAGATCAGCGGAGAGCAGACGCGTGGGCAGCTTCAGTTCAGGAGACCCCGCAGAGTGGCACAGCCCCGTTGCAGCTGAAATCCCACTCCCGGCTGGCAGAAGCAGGCAGAGCCCCACCATCCCCTGCAGAACCACGTAACCCGCCCCAGGTTTGACTTGCAGCACCATCTCTATCACACGTACAGGTTTCCCCTTTTTCTTCCTCTTTTCCCATTTCAGAGCGCATCACGCAAAGCATCAGTCCTTTTGCTCCCATTAATCCAGCTTCTCTGCTCTCAGATTAGACCCCAGGC